TTTGCGAGGAAGTGAGGGATTTAAAGGTATTGTTGTAGAACGAGATGGAGGTTTAAGCGGTCGAGAAACATGAGATACAGGTTTAGAGGTAAGGGATGGTAGAGGAGTCAAGACCCTTACACAAAATTACATACAAAAAAGTAAACAAATAATAATAATAGATTGCAATGTAGAAGAGTTAAAAACCTCACACACCTAACTACTCTCTCATGAAACTATATCTCCCACTCTCTCATGCTTATAAATGTCAACCCAAGCATCTATATAGGTCCTGCACTTAATTCCTTGTTGGAAAAAGATTGTAATTGCTCAAGCCTAAGTATAGCTTCCCACCCACCCCTCCAATAAATAAATAAATCCTAATTAAAATAATGTCTAAAATAGAAATCTAATGAATTAGATTGGGTCAAGTGCAAAAAACACCCCTATAGTTTTAAAAATATGCAAATAACACCCTTGTTGTTCAAACGCCACCCTTTTAGTTTCCAAAACTTGCAAATAAGGGCTTTTTGTCAGAGAGGTAAGTAAAAATACAAAAATACCCCCCACATGGACATTGACGAAAACTAAGTCGTTTTGGGTAATGAAACACCACACACAAACTACGTGGTTTACAAAGTTGTTTCAAGTAAGGACTTACGACAACGATGAGCCATTGCTGTCGCCGACCGCCGGAGGTCGATTTGTTCCGGTACCGGAGGAAGATAAGAATGAAGAACACGAAAACGAAGAGTTTCGAGGTCTCTTAGTCAATCCAATCTCTTCGTCTAGTACAGAAGAATCTGTGATCAACGGTGGTAAAGATTCGATGAATGTGGAGGTGAAGCTCATGCCGGAGGTTGCGGTTTCCGTCGGATGGAGTCACCAGATCTACGCGATGGTTCTGAAGGTAAATGCCCCTCCACCGACGCCGGTGGCGCACAATAGCAACGCGTTGAGCATGAAGCGCGAGAAAATCTAGATGCTAAAACAAGCCATGTGGCTGCTGATTTTTTCGGCTCTCCATAGTGCGAATAAGCTGTATCCAACCCAATTCTAGGGAGAGAAAGCCTAAAGAGAGAAAAAGAGATGGCGATCTCTGATGCAGTGGTCGGGAACCTGACGAAACTGTACCTGGCGGTGATTTTGGCTATCAAAGTATACGGCCTGGCGGTTGGGAAGAGCTTTACTGGCGTTTATATGTTGTATGCACTGATTCAGTATCTCTATGCACAGAGGTGTCGGCATTTATTTATTGGACCCACGTTTGAATAATCAAATCCCTCCCAACCTCACTCGCATGTGCCCCAGCTCTCTCTCTCTCTCTGTTTGTGTGTGTGACTGTGTGTAATTCAGATGAAGAAAATTGAATAGACTTCGAAGATTAGAAGAAATCGACAATAAGAATGTATGCAACTGACAAGATGGAATTTTGAATCTCTTTCTCTCTCTAAAATTATGGATCCAAGAACTCGTCTTGATCATGCTTTGTTTCAGCTCACGCCAACCAGGACCAGGTACTGTGAATTATTTGATTGTGTTGATTATGTGTTCTTTCTCTCATTGTGTTGATTATGTGTTCTTACTCTTGTGTTATCGTATGAAGATGTGATCTGGTTATCTTTATTGGTGGCGCGAACGAGAAGCTTGCGTCTGGACTACTTGAACCATTCCTTTCGCATCTCAAATCCGCAAAAGATCAGATTCAGAAAGGCGGTTATTCAGTTACTCTTCAACCTCCTTCAAGAGCCACCGATGGTTCATGGTTCACCAATATACAAGGGTTTGGTGTAATTGGATAAGTGCCGACACCTCTAAAATAAATCGAAATTAAATCGAAACCTCTAAATCTTTCATCATTAATTTTTGGTTTTGATGTAATGATAGTCAATTACAAATTTTTTATCATTATGTTCATTATTTACAAAAAAAAATCCCTGTGCTTTTAAAAATGTGCAAATATTAACCTTTGGGCATTTTGTATAGTACAAAAGGGTATTTTTAGTATTAAAGGCCAACTTTTGCTCACATGCACGACACATGTCAAATTTGTTGGTCAGAAGTCCTTATTTGTAATTTTTTGAAATTAGAGGGGTGGCATTTGAACAATAGGGATGTTATTTGCACATTTTTTTAAAATATAGGGGTGTTTTTTGCACTTATCCCGAATTAGATTACATTTTGATAGAAGTAATGCTCTGGGCTTATTGGGCAACTTCTTTGGGTCTGCTTTAAATATATTTATGAAATTCCAAAAAATAAAAATAAAAAAACGAAAAACAAAAAGATGTAAATTGTAATCCACATTAAAATGAATTGAGATAGTAAGCAAAATATATGATAAAGGCTCATAAACTAGAACAAGAAATAATTCAAAAAAAAAAAAAAAAAAAAAAAAAACCATGAGAAATGTTCATAAAGTCGAAGACATAGTCTCTAAAATCTAACAAAGGAGTCAAGATTCAAAATTTTGAATTCCATTCAAATCTTATCTACATTTAATATCTCAAAAAGTTAAAAGAGTATAAAATATCCTGTATAGTTGCCCTTGTTTTTTCCCAGTAAGGTAAATGAAGTATATTAATTAGTACTGTAGAATGAAAGCAAGCCCAGCCAAACTACGATAATAAATTAGTTAATATAATTTCTTTATATATATATAACAAAAATAACATTCACATTTTAAAGAAGAAATTTACAAGGCATGTGGTCCTATCTGGATATGATAGTAATTTAGTTAAAATAATTTTTTTTTTTTGTTTCTCTCCTCTACCTCTTTTTTTTTTTTTTTTTTGGGCCTTTTCCAGAAATTCAAGCAATTTGTATAATTAAGTGTGTATTTAGAATATGATTGGGCCCATGAGCAAATTGGCCAACAAGCAAGAAGGTGAGGGTGATACAATGGGAGAGGCCCAACATATAACAAGTGATTTTAACAAGCCCAAAGAAAAGGCCCATTGCTGGCTAATTTCATTTGCCTTCAACAGTTATTAGTAAGGTCAATGTTGTTTTTAAGTGAAATAAATTCTAAATAAAAGAATTAGACTAATTGTGTAATTTGTATTGGATTTGGTGAATAAATATTGAATACATGCGTTGTGCATAACCATGGTTTGACCAAATTCTAATTTTAATTTTACTTCTTTCATGTAATTTCGATGAACATTAGATTTTCCACTCTCTGTATATATGATTTTCGCAATAAAAAGTATGATTCTAGCTATAAATCCCAGAGAAAATTATGAATACATTAACTTGGGGGTTTCATTTTACAGTCACGTGAAGTCAAAGTCTTGAATTATTCAAAAATGCTGATGTCGACATGAAAAAATTATTATGCATTTTTTTTCAAGTGTCCAATCTGCCATTTTTATTGTACTTGCGGAATTACCTATGTATCAATTTTGTGCACCTGCATACCACTTTTAATTTGTGCACTCAAGTACCACTTATCGTAATGAATTTGTGAGCTAAATTTTTTTAGTATGGAACAAGAATGACACCCTAAGGATTTACAAATGTTTATTACTTTGTTTACTTTTGTGCATGCACGGACGGAGTCAGGATTTTAGTTCAGAGGGGACACAATGCACTTGTTGAAAAAAAAAAAAAAAAAAATTTAATAAATATGACAAATAGGAAGTATAATTTTTTTAAATCAAAAAGGAAAATAAGAAAAAAAAAATAGTTGTAAAATAATATACTAAATAAATACTGTAAAAAAAATATAGTTTCAAATATAAAAATCAAATTATTAATTAATAATATTTTAATTAAATACAATCACAAATGTCATCCATAAAAAGAAATAAGTTAAAAAAAATAGAAAAATACATAATTATACATAAGTAAAAAAAGTAATTTTTTGAAAAAGGAAACAAAAATTAGAAAAGGAAAAATATTGTATACTTGAATAAGGAATATATATAACCTCTTCTTTTCGAAAGGAAATTAGAAGAATTTGAAATTTTGAAGGGGAGCACTATTTAAAATTATCATAAAAATATATGTATATACCAAAAATATATACCTATGTATAGTAAGTTGGAGCAAAGTGAGGGGGGTACGTGCCCCCTCTAGACCTTAATTGGCTCCGCCCCTGTGTGCATGCACCTAAGTACTATCTTTTGTGCCTCATGTACCATTTTTCATGCAAGAATGAAAAAGAAAGTAAAAAGGGCAGATTGGTCACTTCGGAAGAATGCAGTATTTTTTCATGTCCATACCATTATTTTTAAGAATTTTATCTTTTGGAATATTCAAGTCTTTGACTTTACCTTAGCTAAAATGGAGCCCCTAATAAATTCATGTATTTATAATTTTACCTAATAAGAATTGGTCCGAAAAATGTCAGGTTATTTCTAAGTAAATAAATTCTATTATATCAAAATAATTTTGGTCAATCTGTACATTGATTGTGCATAGAAGACATTAGGTTTTCCAATTTCCCCTCCCTAATATGAGTTATCATTATCACTGTTAATTCATTTAATGGTAGTGGAGATGTAATCTTTAAACCCAACATTAAATATTAATAGGTTTTTTCCTTCCATAGCCACAAAATTAAAATCTCCCCCCAAATTCTTGTAATCTTCTCTACTCAAACGACATTTTAAGCAACGTGATTAATTCTTATCTCTATATATATGGACACACACAAACATAAGTGCATAGTGCTTACACAATATTAACAGATATACTATCTACTTACACACACACTGCAGGGACTTGGATTCTTATCTCACCCGCAAGTATTTCTCTTTATTTCTCTAGCTCTCAATATATCTTTTTGTTCAGGTGTCCGGGTTTCACCCATGACCCGACTAATCTCCAGGACTCGTGTAAAGTAACTCTTTCACACGAATCCGGACTATCTGTGCAGTCGTGGTCCTAAAAATGTACAGATTTACTACATACTTACATATACACACTCAAAAACAAGCTAGGATTTAATCAGGAGAAGAGAAACAACATATGATATATATATATATACACACACACATACAGATACACACCTAGACATGGCAAGAAAGAGGGTTAGAATTGCGAGGATTGTGAATGAGAGTGCTAGGAAAGCTCGTCTTAGAAAAAGAATGGCTGGCTTGTTTAAGAAAGCGGAGGAGCTGTGTGTCCTATGCGACGTGCAGATCGGCATAGCCATTTACAGTCCGGATGAAACTGCAGCAGGTCCGGGAGTGTGGCCATCCCGGGAAGAGATGGAAGGACTAATGATGAAGTTTCTTGGGATGCCGGAATCCGAAAGAGCCAGAAAAAGTAGTACACTTGAGAACTACCTCGAGGAGAGGATAGAGAAAGAGGAGGTGAAGATGAACAAAGCTAAGAAGAAGAATGATGAGAAGGAAATGGAGCAAATCTTGTGGGAACTAGTTGAAGGTATTAATAATGTGGATGTAAATGGACTAGTTGATGTAAAGCAACTTCATGGCTTGTCTTTGTTGGCAGCTGACATGCGTGACAAGTTTCGCAAAAGGCAGAACCAAGAACCACCACCACCACCTCCTCCTCCTCCTCCTCCTCCTCCTCCTCCTCCTCCGGTGGCGCCGGCAGGTGTAGAAGAGGCTTCAGCCACTAGAGATGTGAGGGCCTTGAGCATTCCAACATCAATGGAACCATTGATGAATGATCAATGGTTCATGGATACAATGACCCATCACCAGTATATGGATCATATTGGTGGTCCTAGTAGTAGTGGAGGGAATGACTTGGGACTGCCACCGGAGTATGCTGCCGGCGGCACAAGTGGTACAAAGGACAAGGAGCTGCTGCCTGATGACCTAGATAGTGCATGGCCTCACATTTACTCTCCCTGAAATGTAGGGTTCATATTTTAAATATGTATATTGTTGATTCTAATTATATATTTATATATGTGTGTGTGTGAATCATTTTTGGGTGGATGTTAATTTGTTTCAAGTACATAGTAGTTTTCCTTTATTGGATTCTCTGTCAAATGATATTGTTTCTTTTTCTATTCTTTCCTTTATTTAGATTTAAAAATAAGGGAAAATTACATATAAATGGAGTCAAAGTTCCATATTTACTTAGAGACTGAGTCAAAGTTTCATATTTCTCTCAAATGGATTGCTGAGGTGGCACATGGTTTTTTACTGTTTAGAAATTGTGGTGCCTAAAATACCCTTCCGCGAAGGTACTACTTTTTCTTCGAAGGTACTACTTTTTTGAACTGAAGGTACTACTTTTTGGCATCCAGGTACCATGTTTTTTAAACACCCGCAAAGGTACTACTTTTTCTCCGAAAGTACTACTTTTTTGCACTGAAGGTACTACTTTTTTTCACTGAAGGTACTACTTTTTTGTTAGGGAAGGACATTTTAGGCACCACAATTTTCTAAACAGTAAAAAACCATGTGCCACCTCAGCAATCCATTTTAGAGAAATATGAAACTTTGACTCAGTCTCTAAGTAAATATGAAATTTTGACTCCATTTATATGTAATTTTCCCTAAAAATATATAAAAATCATGTACTGAGGATTATAAATTACATGAATTGAAGGCCAACTCTAGGTAAATCTGAAATTTCGTTTCGCTCACAAAACCAGGAAAAATTTAAAAATACTAGTGCTGCAACAAGAAAAGCTACCTTGCTCTAACATTTATTCAAATTTCCCGTGTGATGCATGGAATTAAAACAAGAGTGTTGATAGAGAATCTGAATCGGATTTTTTACGCTTTTTTAAAAACAATGTTTATTATATCACGTGCGCTATCTTTCTAAGATATTATGTTTTGTATTTTTCTACGCCGCCTTTTTAAAATATAATGTATCATCACGTTTGCCACCTTTCTAAGATATCATGTTTAGTATTTTTCTGTGCCGCCTTTCTAATATATCACGTGCGCTGCCTTTCTAAGATATTATGTTTAGTATTTTCCTACCTTTTTAAGATATTATGTAAGATATTTTCCTACATAATGATATAGTTCATTAAAAGTCTAACCATTCCATTTCCACGAGTACTTTGTTTTTTTCAAGCAAAACACAGACGAGCACCTTATTCGAATATATATATATATATATATATATATATATATATATATATATATATATATGTATCATTTTCTGAAAACAATGTTTATTGTGTCACGTGCGCCACCTATCTAAGATATTATGTTTCGTATTTTTCTACGCCGCCTTTTTAAAATATTATGTATCATCACGTTCGCCACCTTTCTAAGATATTATGTTTAGTATTTTTCTGCACCGCCTATCTAATATATCACATGCGCCGCCTTTCTAAGATAATATGCTTAGCATTTTCCTACACTTCCTTTTTAAGATATTATGTTCAATATTTTCCTCCATAATGATAGAGTTCATTAAAAGTCTAACCATTCCATTTCCACGAGTACTTTGTTTTTTTCGAGTAAAACACGGACGAGCACCTTATACGAATATATATATATATATATATATATATATATATATATATATATATATATATATATTATTTTATTATTTATCATATTTATTATTTTCTTCTCTACGAGTAATGGTTATAAGCCAGATCATTGAGAACCTTCAAAAAAAAAAAAATTAAGGATTTGTTGTTCATAGTATTGGAATTATGTATTATTTTTGTGAGTAATGATGGGATCAATACAAAATTTTATTTATTTAGTTCCTTGACATACCGGAAAGTTATGTATTGTTAACAAAGAACATGGGTTACTTTGAATCCACAAAATAGAGAAAATTTGCAAAGAATTCTGAAATATTATTGATAATTAAATGTGTGATTTACACTGCAATACATGTATTTATAAATAGAAACCCTAATCAACAAAAGAAACCCTAAAAACATAAGAAAACTAGCAATATAAAGAAACTGCTCAAAATTGAACTTTCTTCAAAATTTCTGTAAAAATAAAGTAATAAACCTAGTTACTAAAACCTACCAATTATATACCAAAAAGGAAAGTAATTCGAATCCATTTAGCCTCCTAACGAAAATCTCAAAATATTCAAAATTGTGAAAACGCAATTTCCGAACCCCAAATGATTGAATTCGGCCAAAAGGCGCCCTATCAAAATAGCAAAGTTGCTAATTTTTACAAGTTATGTCATTTTTTATCAAACTAGGGTCTTTTCAGGTCAAAACTGACTCGTCGAAATTATCTAAAAAAAAAACTGGTCAACTTGCCCGTGTGACCTCTTTACAGTCTAAATGAATTCCAAAGTCATCAGCAATCCGTTATATATCAATCCCCTCTATTTCAAAAGAACTCGTCCTCGAGTTTAATTCTGGATAAAGAGACACGTCAAGAGGATGATACTCAAACAAGTCTACTGCATTGAAAGTATTAAAGATTGACTTATTATCAGGAATACTCAAACAAGTCTACTGCATTGAAAGTATTAGAGATTGACTTATTATCAGGAATTTCCACCACATATGCACTGTCATTAATCTTCTTTATGATATACGACACGACCCATATTTTCTATTCATTAGCTTGTTATAAGTTCCAACTGAAAATATGCCCTTGTGCAGATACACCATCACTAGATCACCATCTTCAAACATGTTTACTTTCTTATGCTTGTCTGTAGTAGGCTTGTACTTGGCATTGGACTGTTCAAAATTTTGCTTGACTTCAACTTGAATTTTCTAGACCTTTTCAGCCATGTTTTCTGCTGCAATGCTCACCCCTGGAAGTTTAGGCAATGAGACCAAATCTAGGGCATGCTTCAGTGCTTTAGTATAAACAGTCTCAAATTATGTCTTTCCAGTGTATTGGTTAAACATACTTTTGAAAGCAAACTCAGTATAAGGAAGAGCAAAATCCTACTATTTTGGCTTATCACTCGAAATATATCGAATTATGTTTCCCAATGTTCTGTTCACAACTCTGTCTGACCATCAGTCTACGGATAACTAATATTGTTGTACTTCAAAGAAGTATCAAATTTCTTCCACAAAGTCCTCCAAAAATGATTGAGGAACTTCACATCACGAACTGAAGTAATTAACTTTGGGACACATATAAATGCACAATTTCTTAAAAGAACAGACTAACCACATGGGTTGCATCTGAAGTCTTCCGAAATAGAATAAAATGCACTATCTTTGAAAAGCTATCAGTAACCCACAAAACAGAATCCTTACATCTTTGAGTTCGAGGAAGTCTAAGCACAAAATACATGGTTAAGTCCTCCCAAATATTTTTTGGCATGAGCAGTGGAGTATATAGCCCATTATTCTGCCAACATCTTGTTTCAACTATGGCCACTAGTAATGTTCTTCGGTTAGAGCAACTATTTTATCTCTGCCCAAATGTTCCCCTAAACCGCTACTATGCAACTTGTGAATGATTTGTTCTCACATCGATGATCTCAGGATACAAAGTTGATTGCCACAAAATAAATAACCATCATAAATATGAAAATCTGTTGTAGGCTATCGTGAACTGCACTTTGCCCAATCTGCTTAAAAATACTCATCAGCCTCATACAACTCCTTCAAACAATCAAAACCAATAACCTCATAACCCAAGGTTATCAACAAAGCTGCCCAACAACTCAGCACATCAACAACCTTATTCTACTGCCCTGATTTATGTTTCAGCATGAAGGTAAATTTCTGCAAAAAAGAAATCCACCTAGCATGCATGCAATTTAGACTACTCTGTGTGTTAATAAATTTTAGCACTTGGTGATCACTGTAAATCATGAACTCCCTCTGAATCAGATAGTGCTCCCAATGCTTCAAAACCTAGATCACAGCATAAATCACTTCTATCTCGCCTCACTAAGTTTTTCACTGAAAAATTCTACTGGTCTGCCCTCTTAAGAAAGAACAGTAGTTATGCCCATAACAGAAACATCACACTCAACCTCAAACATCTTCTTGAAACTTGGTAATGCTAAAATCGGAGTAATAAATAGCTTCTTTTTAATCATAGCAAAGGCCACTTCTTGCTCATACCCCCACTGAAATTTTCCCTTCTTCATGCACTCGGTAATAGGAACCACAATACTACTGAAAGTCTTTATGAACCTACAGTATTAAAAGGTCACTAAGTTATGAAAACTATAAACATGACTTACTGTTATCAATGTAAGTTATTCTCGAATAGCACAAACCTTTTCTTCATCAACCTAAATACCACCATCCCCTAAACAGTAATATATCGGTCAGAAAACAACACTTCTTTAAGTTAACATATAGCTAGATGGTATATAAAACTTACAAGACTTCCCGTAGATATTCCATATGTTCTTCGTCACTACGATTGTAGATCAGAATATCATTGAAATAAACAACCACAAATCTACCAATAAACGGATTCATAACCTGGTTCATCAATTGCATGAAGTACTTGATGCATTTGATAAACCGAATGACATATAGCCTTTCTTTTGTTTTGAAGGCCATCTTCCATTCATCGCCCGGCCTAATCCGACTCTGATGATACCCGCTCCGTAAATCAATTTTAGAAAAGACTTTCGAACCCTCTATCATATCCAGCATATCATGCAACCACGGAATTGGGAACCTATACTTCATTATAATTTTGTTGATTGCACAACTATCAATACACACCCTCCAGGTGCCATCCTTCTTTGGCTTCAGCATTGCAGGAACTGCATAAGGAATCGTGTTCTCCCTTATCAGCCCTTTATAAACCAACTCCTCAACCTGCCTCTGCAACTCTATACTCTCTGCTGAGCTCATACGGTAATGCGGCAGATTTCGTAAGCTCGCTCGAGGCACCAAATCTATATCACAATTGAATGTCTCGCAAAGGCGATAAGCCATCTAGAAACTCTTCCAAAACCAATTCCT